TAGGCACTTACGACGTTCGTGTAAAGTTCAATAAAATATAAAATATGTTTATGTTTATGTCGATTTTCAAAAAATTGATTATCACGCAGTCATTATCCATATTTTYTAAGTAAAATTTAACGTTTGTTTAATTTATCTGATCAAATTGATTAAAACTACCGTTTATGAATATTTACCTTGTCTTATCGAAGTCCCCACGAAACTGTGGTGGACAGAACGGTAAGTGCAACTAGGTTGACTTGAATCTTCTCCGTCACTGCAACTGTCGCCGTCCTGTTGCTGATGCGTTTGACACGAGTCGTTGGCCAACATGAAATCTTGRGAGAAAGTCGAAGTCTTACTGAAACCAGAAATAACAATAACGATTAGAGTCGCATCCTGGGCATTCTGTTCACGAATACTATCCCGTTGGTAACTATAAGTGGTGAATTATGAGGAGAGATAACARCTATATATGAGCTGTTACATTTTTCAAATGTACACCACACAGAGTGAAAAATCCAAGCAAACCTATTATTAAATGGCTGGTATTCAACGAGTATAAAATCATTTATAATAGTTGATAAGTGCTTTCGATGGCCGTAGGTATATGTATAGATTATAGACCGATAGTCGACAATAATGCAATTTTAATTTGGTTATTATGTATCCATGCAAAAATAGGCTTCTAAAATGTAAAATTTTTGAATRGGTGGTATTGACGATACAKTAGTTACTTGTAGATATTGAGAAAAATTTTAAGTCAAATTTCCAAATCATGTCTAAGTCCAATACTCAAGTATATCAAAAATTATGTGAGTATATTATTTTTTGTGTGTCTCTGTGTACACCGTAAGTAGTCGAAATAATGCTTCGACATTCAACTTCTGTATTTTTTGTGGTGGACAAAATGAATCTAATTGACATTTTTATAGGTCAACATTATTATTAGTAGTTTTCAAAGTCGTAATATATATTGTTTAGGAGAATCGGGAATTTTTATACGCAAAATTAGTTTTCGAAAAAATCGATTTTTTGTTTTTGTGTTTAATAGCTGTGTTTATATAATACTATATTATATATAATATCGTAGGTATAACGTATAACTAATTTAAATTTTCATCAAATGTTTATTTCACAATTTTTCATTGTGAATTAGGCTCACAGACTACTGGAAATACCACTGAAAAAGGGGACTTTATGTATTATGTGTAATTTATTGTAGTTCCAATAAGGTGTAGRTACACGGTACACTAAGTAAATGTATTAAATCATAATTAATTTTAAAGATGCGGAAGTTGATGCATTTTTTTTTTGGAACTTTTTATACTATCCCCTCTCATGGTCACAAATATGTTTAATTTGCATGTAAATCTGAATAGCCAATAATTTTATTTTACATTTTTTACTTTTAAAGTAATTTTTAGTTATTTCGTATAAGGTTTGATAAATTTTGTATAGATTTATTAAGAATTTAATAGATTTCTAAATTTAAAAAGGCGGGTAAGTAAGTGTATGTTGTTCTGCAGTACAATAGGTTACAAGTGGAAACTGTAATGGATGGTATTAAATTTGAATTCAATGATGTAATATCATTGTATACGAAAAACGATTCTGAACGGACAGGGGCGCCCGCAGAAAATCAGCTCAGTGGGTGCAAAATTAAATGCATTTTATATATTCCCATAGGTAGTCTGATGCCTATTCACATTATTATGTATTTRGCTATACATCYACGTAATAAACATAACTCCAAATGTAATWCGAAAAAATGTATAATACTACAAATTATAATACAATTTTAAACATAGGTATTATTAATAATATTGCATGAAATATGAATCTAATAGTATTATAGAAATGATAAACGTCTGAAATTTAGTTCAAAATACACTACACAGACACACGGTATGTCAGTGTATGAGTGAATGAGTATATATTATGTTCTATATCTTTTTGGGTTTCCCGGTAATTATTGTCGTATTCGCAACAACATTGTGTTATTTTGGTAGAATTAAGAAGATAAAAAATGTTATTTTTGTATTGTGTAGTAGGTAATCTACTAATCCAAGCTTTTATGAACGCCAA